TTGAAGGCTGTCCTGACCAAGATGCATCTTCGAGAGAAAAGTCTCCCTCCCTGAATTTTTAAAACCATTTCTAGCATGTTCAATCAATAACTGCATCCTTCCCATATACAGCACATATCTTTTTTTGAGTTTTTGTTGCATTTTTCCCTTTTCAGAATAATAGAGCATGAGATGTCGAAAATGCACTTTCTTATCTTCCATTTTAATGTTTCTTTTTTCTTAAAAGATAACAAAATTTTAAAAAAATAGCTGTAATTAAACTTATGTAATAAATGTGCAAATATTCGTAATGTCAACTTAAACAAGTTAAAACTTGATAAGCATGACAGAGGCACCACAGATAAGTGATTATGTAAANACTTTTTGCAAAAAATTAGAAAAAAAAAGACTATCGCTGATGACGTTACAACACCATTGTGAGGGAGGAAAAGAGTAAGAAATAAACGATTTCAAATTATTAAACCTGAAAAATAAAATTAAAAAAAAAATAACGCGAATTATGATTGCGATAAAGGTATTATTATTATATAAAATTTATAAATTTTATTTTTGGTAAGTTTTTAACTTTTTCTTTTTTATTGTTGAAACAGATACACTTCTGTTTCGACAATGCTTGCGTGGTGTATAACATTAATTTTACTTCTTAAAAAAAAAGAGGGAAATAGAAGTAGTAAATAAAATAAAAAAGTAATAAAATACGGTAAAAAATTATTACAAATTCTAATAAAAATTGAACAATGGTAATAAAAAAAATAATAATATTGTAATTGCTAACAAAGGAATGAAAACAATCAAAAAGTTTTGTTATTGGAAGGAAATGAAAAATGATTTAAAATTATAAAAACCTGAAAAATAAAATAAAATAGATTTTAAATAATGATTAAAAACAATAATTTTTTTTTCGATAATTGTTTTTAGCTTTTGAACACAGATAAATCTCTTTTATTTCAAAGATATTTGCGTGGAATATAACTTTAATTTTATTTATTTATTAATAATAAAAAAAGGTAATAAAATACAGTAGTTATTATTACAAATTCTAATAAACAAAGTAAGAATTAAACAGCGTAATTTAACAATAGCAATAAAAAAATATATATATATTTTAATATTAAAGCGTTTAAAACAATCAAATAGTTTTGTTATTGGAAAAGTTTGAAAAAAAAAAGCAAAAGTAAAAGTAAAATAACGTATACAACTAACCAATCCTTTCATAAAATCCAATTTTTGATCCTCTTCTGATAGGTGCTACCAATAAAATAGAGTCAAAGTCGTGATAGCTCACCCTAACCCATGTTTTATGTTGTGTCTCCCTTGGATAGTACGCTATCTAAACGCTACTATAGTACAGTAGATATATATATATTTTTTTTTTCGTTCAGATTATATACAGTATATATATATTATCAAAAAAAATTATATGTTAAATTATATCAAATTAAAAATTATAATGATGAAATACATATTATGTACATGTGTGTGTTTGCATGTATGCACATACAATAAAATCTCCCTTTGTGACCTTCTTTTATTTTGTGCCCTTTTCTCATTTATGACTAGTAGAAAAATTTCCAAAAATTTTTCTATTAATTAAATGGGACAGAGACCTCTGTTTTATGACAACCTCTGATTTATGCCCACCTCCAATATGTGACTGTATGTCTTTTTCATACAAATCAGCCTCTGACATATGACCATATGCACAAATCTAAGCATGCAGTTACTTCAAATACAATTTCTTTGCCATATGGAGTTACTTTCTTTGTGCTCTTTCCAGACAGTGGCAGAATAATTTAAGTAATATAAATAAATAAATAAACAATTTCGAAATATTTACCCAACTAGTTTCAGCGATGACACAAAGTAAATACAACTGTACAATAAATAAATAATCAAATTTNTGTTTTTCAATATTTTTGCAATAAACTTTTCCTTATGTGACACCAAATTGATTTATCATTCATTTTCCAGGCACTTTGGTAGTATATTTACTATGAAAATATTTATATCTGGCAATCAAAATACAATAGAAAACTTGTATCACATTTTAAATTTATTTATAGTTTATTCTATAATGCTCAATTGATGCATCATTCTCATTCCTGATGCCCACTAATCAGTTATAATAACTAATATGACTATTCCCATAGTAAATAATTATCTGGCAAAACACAACAGACAGCATTATATGAGTTATCTCAGATGGTGTTTCTTCGATTGTTGTTTGTTGACTGCCAACTATGAGAATTTGTAGTTGGCAGTCAGCATGTTAAGATCCAGAGTCTAAGCACAGAAGAATGGGAACCTCTCTACATAATTTTAAGACATCATAAACTAATTGTAGCTGTAGAATTATTTATAAATTATGATATATTAATACAATTGCAACATTTGACTTTATTCAAAAGCTTTCAAAGCCTACATTACTTTGAATGTCTAAGGTGTTCACAAAATCTATGATGATATTCTGTGAGTGTCATTGAAATTTGAATTCATTGATTTGATTCAATCAAGCTATTAATAACATATTAAAATTTTTTGACAAAACAGTAACTTTATCATTAATGGAATTAGAAACTTAGTTTTTAATTTACTTGCTTGAATTTTAAATTTTGAATAAATGTTCTTCTTGTTTTTATAAATTATTGCAAATTCAGTAATACTGTGTGTTGAAATAAAGGTTATAAATGGTAGCCTCTGTTTTGTGCCTTTATCTCCCATATGTCACTATTATTGATTTTCCCCAAGAGTGGTCAGAAATAGGAAGATTTAGTGTCCTGTCTTCTAATAATTATAAAATCAATTCTAAAATAATATTACTTTTTTTAAAGTAAAACCATACTAGTCATTGTAGTCAGTAACAAATCATTGTAATTACTATAATTATACCAGTCAAAAATATGATGTTTAGAAAAATATATTATAGACGACCTAACTAGTAATACATTTGCTATCCAACTGTTCAAATTTTGAATCCCACTCTAGATGGTTGTTTTGGTATATGAAAGAATTTAATTCAATGTAGATTGATTTTTAATTATTAAAGTTACTACAAATGATATCTGATTGGATTATTACTACTAACAGTAATTTTATTGTATACAATAAACAGGAAAAATTATGCAATAAAGTAATACTTCCTGTGTTTGTTTTGGTTAACAGACATATAAATATAAAATATATAGATATATTGATAATGATACAAAAATGTAAATGCAAACTATTGATATGAAGTAGTAGAAATGATATACTAATAAATATATAACTGTGGACATAAAGATGCTCTCTGATATGGTGGGATTATGTTCCAACAAACCCATTTTAAGTTGAATATGATATGAAAAATAAATAACTACTGTCACTGAATAAGTAAAACAAATTTTTTACTTAAAGTTGAAGGATAAGGAAATCACATCTGAATGGCAGCTTAGCCTGCCTGTAGATCAACATAGGTTGTCAATCTGCAGGCTAAGTTGCCATTATTTTTTACCAAGATTTAAAAAAAAACTTGTTCAATCTGACTCTAATTGAATCAGCCTGAAGAGGATAGTAGTAAACTATCGAAAGTACTTGCAAATTTGAATAAAATTTGGATTTTATTGCCACAAGATAGAGAATGTTACTTTTTAACATTATACTAGATTTCACAAAGTTTTTCATCAAACCCCAAGCTTCATATGAAGAGGAGGTAAAGGGATTTTAGTTTCTCCACCAGAGCAGGAAAAGCAATATTCTTCTAACTTATTACATTTGGTGTGTGATTGAGCCACTTTTTTACTAAGTGACTGGTTCTTGCTTGACTGTCTTATTCACATAAAAAGCAGCAGAATTTAGTGTATCCTTGAAGACCTGTTAGCATTGCAACAAACTTATGTTCATTGTATTTTATCTTGTCCAGCATTACCTTTATGTTGTAGTAAGTTTCTTTTACCTGTGGTATACTAAGATATAACATCTGACCCAGGAATGCCCTTTTAAAATGATTCCTGACTTTAAGCAAATATAATTTCTCAGGTGTATTTTATTCAAACAACAGTTACAGAAAGTTTGTCTAAAAGAGGCATTTTTCTTCAAAAAGTAGTATTTAAAAAAACTGTGGGTAATGGATTTTGTATTTCAGATTCATATTCAGCACACTAAAATACATAAAAAAATCACATTTTTTTTCACAGGAGGATTTTGATGCAGAACAGTGTGATAAACTCTGTTAAAATGAAAAATGTAAATTGAAAGTGCATTAATCAGCAATTATCTGTATGTATTGTTTATGTATATGTTACAACCAAAGCTTGAAATCAGCCAAAGCAGGAAGTGTCTGGCCAAATTGGAAAATGGCAATATTGCTGTAAATTGATTGGTCAGTGTCCGATCATTTCTTGATTTTGGGATTTTGCTAGCCAGTTTGCAAAATGGCATGGGGTGATCAGCCAAAGTCAGAAAAAAAGTCATGGTCATCTACAACCTCTCTGGTTAGATTTGAGGTTCTAAGCCGCAATGTTGCTTTGAAGCCAAACATTGCCTCATAGGGCAACTGCTGAATGTCTTGGCGAAAAGAATAGTTCTTCATGAATTAAATAAATTTTAGGCCAATGTGTTGATTTATTTGTCTGCATCCATGTCATTATCATATTCTGAACATCCTGGTTGACACATTCAGTGGAGTCTTCGCTTTGGTTATGCCTCAGTTTTCCATGTACTGTACTAGTTTCAGTTCAGGCCATATGTTCTTTAGTTCATTTATAACTTGATTTGTAAATTTTCTTCCATTTTCTGATTGAAGCTCACTTAGAACACCTATAGTGGTGAAGATATCAAGTAGCTGGTAAGCGACTTCTGTTCTTTTGCTTTTCAGAGGTCTCAATAATATAAACTTGGTTAAATGACTTTGAACTAGAGATTGTGGATGCCTCATCTTCCTTGGTTCAAAGTTAAGCAGAACAGGAGAATGCACAGAGGAGATCAAATAAAGGTTGATCCTAGGCTATATTGCTCTCATCAAGATGGACAACATCTGGGAAAGACAAGATATCACAATATCCACTAAGGCCAGACTGGTCCAGGCAATTGTGTTCCCAATCACAACCTATGGTTGTGAAAGCTGGACAGTAAGAAAAAGCGATAGGAGGAGGATAGATGCTTTTGAACTTTGGTGTTGGCGTCAGATTCTCAGAATTCCGTGGACAGCTAGAACAACTAATAAAGCAGTCCTGGATAAAATTCGGCCACAAATATCCTTGGAGGCAAAATTGATTGCTCGCTTGAGGCTAAAGTTCTTTGGTCACACCATTCACGCCAACTCCCTAGAAAAACAGATCATTCTGAGAATGGTTGAGGGACATAGAGGGAAGGCAATGCATCAGGTGGATGGATAACATCAAAGCAGATACCCACCTGGACCTCAAATCCCTGAGACTGAGCACTGCACAGAACTTGCTGGAGGAAACTCATCTATGAAATCACCAATAGTCATACATGACTCAATGGTTGAAGAAGAAGAAATGATCCTGATAATTGAGTATAGACTTGTACTTGCCATCATGATTACTTTGCATGTCTGTAAGATCTACTTGGCATCTTGAGTTAAATTCTTTAAATATCAAAGGTTTAGAAATTAGACCTTTCTTGGGATTTGACAATTTGGTCTGAAATGGCTTGCATAAGTGGAGGTACAATGTAATGACTTCTTTAGTGGCATTTTTGTACTTAGTTTGTAGCTCCTTTTCCATCCGTGTGTGACCTCCATGTCCAATTTTCAAGTGGGTATCGTGGAATATGTCAAAAAATTCTTCTGTATGCACATAGTACAAAATATTGCTATTGTGTCCTGTTATTAGCACAATAAGTGTTTCTTTACCGTCAACTTCAGTAACATCATATTTTCTTAGTCAGTTAATGATAGTCAACACTTTCATTTTTTCTGCCTTGTTTCTGACTATTTAACGTCCTCTATAAAAGCGCTGTATTTGTCTCTGATGAGGATCCTGCTATTATATGCTTTTACTTGCAGCAATGTAAAAGTATCCGAGAACCTGATTTTCATATCAAATGTTGGTTCCACATTTACATTTAGTCAAACTTCACTCAGCATATTTGTCTCATCAGAAGTAGCCATGGGACAACCTATGGAATAACAGTTATGAATATTTGAAATTGTAATGTTGTTGCATAGTATCTTATGCAACAATTTCAAATATTCATAATTGTTATTCCATAGGTTGTCCCATGGCTACTTCTGATAAGACAAAAGAAGCGAATATTTGTCTCATCAAATATTTGCTTCCAGCAGACAAATTAAGAGTCACTTAAATTACTTTTATATTATTTTGTTACAAGTGCAAAATTTTAAATTTATGATGAATAAATTTGAGGCACTTTTTCCCCATTGACTATTAAAATATATTTTTAATATTAAAAATATTATATATCCCCAGTAAATTGTGTTCTGTTGCTAATTTAATATGCTCCTCTAAAGGAAAATGTGTTGTTGCAAACAATCCTTTAACCTCAGCATAATTATTGTATGCTCCTTCCAGCAATGTGTGACATCACACATACCCCACAACACATATTATATGTGCTCTATGACTTAACTTTTGAACTCAAAGTATTCATATAGAATACTATAGAAATATGAGGAATACAGTACTCACAATGAAACTGTTATGTCAAAATAGTAAGAACAAGTCAGAGGCAGGACCGTCTCCAAAAAGCAGCATACATACAAAATATTATTGTCACAACGTGGCACCATCACATCAGAAGAGAAAGATGTACTGCCTACTGGACAGTCTTGCATTAGCACATCAAATTTTGGCCAGAAATTTCCCACCACTTCACTAAATGACCAGCTAAAGTAGCATATACATTGGTTGTTTCAAGTACATCGGACATTGGCCACTCCTCTCAGCCAAAGTGTGAAATGGCCAGCCAAATTTAGAAACTGGCCGAACTTTGGGCTTTGGCCATAACATATACACTGAAGAGCAATTGAATTAGGGATACAGGCATACCTCGACTTACGTCGTTTCGAGTTACGTCGTTCCCGATTATACGTCGTTTGTCAATAAAGTATATGGAGTAAAATACAATCAAAATACAGATTCGGGATCAAATAAAATACAGAATCGGGAATGGTAATTTACAGTTTAGCCTAGTGATAAGTAGATTCGGAGACAAGCAAATTCAACTTACGTTGTTTTTCGACTTACGTCGTTCTCCTGGAACCAATTACCGACGTAAGGCGAGGTATACCTGTACCTGTCTAGTAGCATGTAGCACCACCTTTCGCCTTGATGACGGCTGCGATTCGTCTTGGCGTGGACTCCACAAGACACTGGAAGCGATGGGAAGCCATACGTATCCACAAGTCCTGAATAATCTCTCACAAATCACGAAGATTAGATGGAAGGTGGTTGGAGTCTCAAACATCTCTTAATTGCATCCTAGATGTGCTCGACTGGATTGAGGTCAGGTGACTGTTATGGCCAGGAAAGTACGTGCAGGTCTGTGGAATGTTCATCCAACCATTCCGATACAATTCGGGAGCGATGGCATGGTGCATTGTCTTGTTGAAAGACAATCTCTGTAGTGGGCTGTCGAGAACGAACAAACAGGAGCAGATGGTCGTCAAGGATATCCTGGTAACATTCACCTGTCAGCGACACTATCACACATACCAGGGGTCCCATTTCAGTCCATGTGAACAGTCCCCACACAAGAATGCCACCTCTGCCATCTTGAAGAGTCCTCTGCTGGCAGGAAGGATCCATCGGTTCATGTGGTTTACAGCATACACATACTCTGCCATCAGCATGTACCAAAGTGAATCTCGACTCATCACCCCAGGCAACATTTTTCCACATCTTGATGGTCCATTGGCGATGTTCCTGCCCCCATGCTAATTGTTGCGCCCTGTTTTGTGCAATCAGCAGTGGGACTCTTGTTGGACGATGATTCCTGTACCCCATTGAGAGGAAATGGTTTTGTATGGTGTGACAGCTTACACCTTAACACTCTTATCTTCAAGACAATGCACAATGACTTCATAATTGAGCTTACACCTTGTTGTGCACCAGCGTTAAATCAACGGGTGATCTGTTGCACTGTGGCCCATCTATCTGCTGTTACAATGCGGGCTAGCCATTGACGACCTCGCTCATCCACGCGCTGTTGTCTGCAGCAGTTGACTCTGGCAGCGATGGTTTTACCAGAATCAATGTACTCATGGTACACTCTCAACACTGTGATGTGTGAAAATTCCAGTGTTTCCACTACTTCTGAAATGGAGTGACCCATTTGATTGTGGACAAATCACGTGGCATTTGATTTGTCCATGATCAAATGCACTTAGATCTTTACTCTTACCCATTTTGCTTCTGATTGTTACTGATACCATTAGCAGCACTCCTTATCTTGTCAAACTGCTGCTTACCTCATCTACAAATCACTTTCATGCTTACACACAACTCAAAATTTGCATAACGCCAGCTATCCCTAATTCAATTGCTCTTCAGTGTACATGTAAATTACAATAACTCTCAGTTCATGCAGTTTTTATTAGTGTAGGTTTTGGTTAATGCAAGTGTGTTTTGAAAGAAGTTTAACATTGCCAGTTTGATGGTGCTCAGAGTTAATAATGCTACAGTAAACTGATTCCTCCAACTCTATTCCTGATTATTATTAGTTACTAGGGAGAAGTGAAACTTAGTTTTTCTAGTGCAGTACTCTTATTTGGAGTTTTTTTTTTCACATTTAGTGCAATTTCTGCAAATATTTGTTGTAATTTTTCAGCCTTTACCAAGTCTACAGGGAACTTTGTGAAAAAATAAGGCAGCAACTGTACAGATAATGTTTGATAAATAATCCTGGTGGAACCCCGGTTAACGAACTTAATCCGTTCCGCGACTTTGTTCATTAACTGAATTGTTCGTTAACCGAAACAATTTTTCCCATAGAAATTAATGCAAATGCAATTAATCCATTCTAGTCTCCGAAATTTTCGTGATTTTATTTGTAATATACAGCAGATTTTCTTTGATGAAAATGTAGGAAAACATAGTATCTATCATTACAGCAACAAACATGTAAACTTTGTTTAATAAAATAGCACTGTACATACCTTCGTTTGTTGTAGTTGGTGGCAGAAAAGTGGAGATATACGAACCTTAATGCTTAGAAGGGGAATCCCCTCCAAAAAAATAACGGGTAGCACTTCATCGGAAGATTCTTCGAGTCGAAGTCTCTTTCGGAAAAAAAACCCACCAGTGGCTAAGTGGTCTTCGTACCTTGAACACGGGGAGTTCGTTCGTGGGTTCGCACCTCGCTCAGACGGGCTGGCCACGTGGAGTTTTCCGGGTTTTCTCCACGTCTGTAACGCCTAAATAGGGGCCAGTTTCCCTTAAAAACACCTCCCAGAAGGCATTCCCCCTAGGCAGATTGCCCAAGTGTTGCGTTGTCATAACTTAACAAAACAAACAAACTCTTTCTGTAAGGAACAAGAAATTGATCTAAAGTTGATTGTCTTACTCTTTTAATCAAAATTTTTCTCAAATGCGATAGCGCATTGTCGTTTTCTATTGCCACTATGACTTTTTTCTTTCTTGGATGCCATATTGATTAAATTTATAAATCACAAAACTGAAAAAAGAAGTATAGCACAAATACTCGGAAAAGCAATGCTTAACTCGCGGATGCCTAACAACAACTGAAATTTGACACAAAATACCGTTACGATCGTTATCTGAGACAATATTTTTGCAAAATAAAAGTTCGTTAACCGATTTGGTTGTTAACCAGGATGTTCGTTAACCGGGGTTCCACTGTATTTTGCTTAATTTTTAAAATTTTTTACTCTGCTTTTTCATGCTACTTTAGTGCTTAGGCTAAACATATTATAATTAATTTTTAATTGGGCTGCAATTTGAAAAAAAATTGTAATCTATAAATTTCCACTGTTGTCTGTCTGTCTCCTTAATCTCAAGAATGGAGTTAGATAGATGAAAGACAAGACCAAATATGGAAAGCTTAGGGCAGGAGGCCCTGATTAACTGTATATGAACTTCCAATGTTAACTGGAAGGCATGTTATTACAATTAAAAAATTTTTTCCTGAAAAGAGTTATAGATGGCATGACTCCATTGCTAATGAAAAAGTATGATGTACAGGGGCAAGACACTACTAATAATTTGAGGTGGATAGCATACTTATTAAATTAAATAAATTAAAAATATGATTAAAAATTGTACCCAGCATTGTGACAATGTCACAATAAATAATTGCTTGTGTTATTTTCCAGTTGTTTTGATACATGTGCAACTACACTGCACTTTTTCTAAAATCTTTAATGAATTAATTCTTCAATAAGTATTTTTTT